CTGTTCTTTTCTTTTTGTTTAATCCAACAAAAACAAAAATGGCGTATTCTGTTCTTCGGCTACGAAAGGTTTCAGCTTTGGGGATTTCTCGTGTTCTTCAAGGTTAGTGCATCGAAAATTCGAAACCCTTTTTCTCTGCTCGTTTTGTTTCGAGAAATTTCTGGAAATAGACATTGTCAACTTCAGTTTATGAGCGATCTTAGAAAGGAATGAATAGAGATTTTGGATGATCTGGATTTCTGAATTTGTGACCTTTTAAATTGGAATTTCGCAATATTTGACTTTTGTGAGCTTCTAGACTAGTTTCTGTGTTGTGTTGAGAAGAAGATTTGGATTGGTTATGTTTGTATCTTATGATGGCTTCTTCTTGTTGCTAAATGTTTCAGTTGATAAGGGAAGTTTGTGGCGGTTTCACTTGGAAACTGAGTCCAGAGAGTTTTTGAGATTAGGTTTCCTCACTAGGGACTACAGAAATAGCTCAGGATCTCCAAAGTTTGATTTCACTGGCACTGGAACCACTACAAAGTTTGATTTCACTGATCTCACGTAAGACCGAAACTTCTTGTAGATTCTTTGTTTGATAAGACATTCAGTGTGTGGATATTTTTTTAGCAGCGAAATGCGATTATCTTGCATTTATGTTCTTCAGATCTTTACAATGCTTATGATCTATCATTGTGAAGATATTAGTACCGGCCTACCGGGGAATTGATTTTATATTCATGTCGTAACTTTGAATTTCAGTTGTCCTCATACATGGTATCCAATCGCTCGAAAGAAGAAGCGTAAGGTCATTCTACATGTTGGCCCGACAAACAGTGGGAAAACATATAACGCTCTTAAGCAACTTGAGCGGAGTTCTTCAGGTATGTACGCCTTAGAAAGTGACTACTAAACTTCTTTTTTTTTCGGAAGCCATTTCTTGAACTGTTCAAGATTGCTTCTTTAACTTGAAGGTGTATATTGTGGTCCGTTAAGATTGTTGGCATGGGAGGTAGCGAAACGGTTAAATAAAGCAAATGTTCCATGTGATTTGATCACGGGACAAGAGAAAGAGTTAGTGGGAGGGGCAACACACAAGGCTGTGACAGTTGAAATGGCGGATGTTACAACGGTCTACGATTGTGCCATCGTCGACGAAATTCAGGCTAGTCTTGCTTGACTTTGTCTGAAGAAACTGAACATAACTGTTTGTGTTCTTATACTCCTCCTTTTGTATCTAATTACAGATGGTGGGATGTAAACAAAGGGGCTTTGCATTTACTCGTGCTCTACTTGGACTTGCGGCTGATGAGCTACATTTATGTGGCGATCCAGCTGTCGTACCTCTTGTTGAAGATATACTGAAAGTAACTGGAGATGATGTCCAGGTATTATGTTTGCTCAAGATAGAGAATCTTTTCTTGTGATATTTTAGACACTCACGTAACCATGACCTCTTGATCCACTTTATTTTGTATTTAGGTTCTTACATATGAAAGGCTTTCGCCATTAGTCCCTTTGAAGGTTCCAGTTCAGTCAGTTTCCGATATCAAAACCGGGGATTGTCTTGTAACGTTTTCACGAAAAGATATATATGCTCATAAGGTTAGCAGTTATTTATCTTGTTCTCTCTTCCTGTTTCTTGCGTTTTCCAGCTTGAGTTTTCTGCAATAAAGAAATAAAAAATTTGGCGTCATATTAAAAATGCATACATAGCTCTATAACCTTATATTTCTGTACGCCTCACGAGTATTGAATGTTATTCTCTTGCCTTAAAATATTTGTTCTTTGCTCTTATTGTAGTCTTCATTTTATGTATATTGTCGTAGAAAAAAATTGAAAAAGCAGGGAAGCATCTTTGCTCTGTGGTTTATGGCTCATTGCCCCCAGAGACTCGCACAGCACAGGTTTGAGTTCCTTACTGATCTGGCTCTAGACTTAACTGGATGGTCTAAGAACTCTCTCTTTTGTTCCCCCGATTCAAATTGTTCTCTCCAGTTTTAATGCTTTTAAGGAATGCAGGCAACGAGGTTTAACGATGAGACCAATGACTTTGATGTGCTTGTTGCTAGCGATGCGATTGGCATGGGTCTTAATTTGAATATTTCAAGGATTATCTTCTCGACCCTTCAAAAATTTGATGGTGCCGAGACCAGAGATCTAACAGTATCTGAGATTAAACAAATTGCAGGTAAGTTTCAACAAAAATACCAAATAAAACTTCAAAGGTGGTGTTATGTCCTCTCTAATGTTCCTGTTTTAGGAAGAGCTGGCAGATTCCGATCAAAGTTCCCTGTTGGCGAAGTAACTTGTTTGCACAAAGAGGATCTTCCGTTGCTCCACTCTTCTCTTATGTCTCCTTCACCTCTTATTGAGGTAATTTTTGTTATATAAACTTAAGATTAGTTCTCTACATGTTTCTCTTCTTAAGCTTGTCTAAGTTTGCACAAAACTTCTATCGTGCAGCGTGCTGGGCTGTTTCCAACATTTGACCTCCTGTCTAGGTATTCCCAAGCACACCCTAGACTCGGGTTGTACAGGATATTGGTAAGATGGTGTTTTCCTTTGTTATTCTCGATCCTTATGTGTGTATCTGTAATCATGGCTCATTAACTTTGGCAGGAACATTTTGTTGAGAATGCTAAGTTATCTTCAAACTACTTCATCTCAAATGTTGAAGACATGATGGTAAAAGCTCAGCGATGATCTAGTTTTGTTCACACATGAGAAAGTGAATGTTTTTTTTAACACACACACACACATATGTCGGTCTTGACTTTCAGAAAGTAGCCGCTCTTGTTGATGAATTACCCCTCGGATTGGAAACGAAATACCTTTTCGTGGTCAGGTAATAGCAAAAAGTAATTCCTGTTCTTGCATCCCATAAGATTCAAGTGAAAATACAAGCTTGGACTGATCAAATGTTACGTATGTGCAGTCCAGTTGACATAAATGACGAAATTTCAGGTCATGGATTTGCACAGGTAAGAAAAACTAGCATGCTCTTATCATTTTTCTTCTTTTGAGAGATCAATAATGGTATCTATGCATGCAAAACAGTTGTCCACTTTTACCTTTTTCTTCTTAATACATCAGTTTGCTTCAACCTTCGCGAAGAGTGGTGTTGTGAGGCTCAAAGAGATATTTGAAGCTGACAAAGTTAAGGTTCCTAAAACACCAATAGAACTCAAGGAACTTGAATCCCTTCACAAGGTAAACATCTTTCTTTTCCTGTGGGTAGTAATCAAAGGAACAGTTTGGGTTTTTTCGATCAATAATTTGGGCTAATAAAGAATCTTGAAAGTTGTTTACTTTTGATCTTAACTGTTCATTAACCAAAATCAAGAGGCAAAAAGTTTGGATTTTTGTTAGTTTAACTATTGAATATGTTCTTTTTGCATCGTGGTTAAACAGGTTTTGGATCTATACGTATGGTTAGGCTTAAGGCTAGAGGATTCTTTTCCAGACCGAGAAGTAGCAGCTTCGCAAAAGTCAATCTGCAATATGTAAGTATCTTAGAATACGAAGACGGTTTGTCTTTTCCTCTGCTTTTGCTTCAGTCTTTGATCCAAAGAAAAATTGAATTCTACAGATTGATTGAGCAGTTCTTAGAGGGAAATGGATTGAGCTCTCCTGCATGCGTCTCGAAACATATGAGGAAGCGACGAAGATTCTGAGAATGCATTTTCAGTTTGGTTTGATAATTTTCTTCTTGTGTTCGTTGGTTTGGTCACTTAGGAAGGAGTAAAGACAAGTGATTGTGCCACAAGAGCTTAACACAGCTTGATAAAGTAGCATTCATAAAAAATTGTCAATTCGTCATGTATTTAACTGTCACTAATAGAAGAA